CATTCACACGGTGCTTCATAGCAAGGCCTGGGCTCATTCTCTTGGACTTATGTGGGCATCCTATTCTCTTATGCTTACGAGGCTTGATGATGATATACTGCATTTCCCCCAATTGCTCTAGGAAGTCGGTGTTCCGTCTCAGGCACTGAAGATCTGTGACCTGTAGCCCTTTTTTTTCTTTGAACAATCTAAATAAGCATTCAGTGTGAAGTTTTTCATTACATTTTGCCACTCATTCTCACTCGCACCCACTCGCCATCTTGACTTCATTTGGGCTTTTCTGTGATTCCAAATGAAATCTTCACATTTGCTTTCCCGATTTAATGCAGCAGCGGATCCCATGAGCCAAGATTGATGGATCAAACCTTTTTTTTTTTTGTTTTATTCAGTGCTGCATTGTACCTAACTTCCAAAATACCACTCTAAAACTGGAACCCTTCTGCTGGTACATTGGCAGATGAATTGAAACCAAATGTTCCGCCTTGTATTGCTTCTGGAACAAGGCTTGGATCTTCATCAATCTGGAACGGAATGGGAACACTGTGAGTGGGGACAGGGACACAAAACCTCACTAAACAGGAGCTGCACACTCCAAAAATCATCTCCCTCTCTACCTAATGAACTTCCCTGCACTGAGTCTTGCCATTCTCCCCCCCAGTTCAGTAGAGCACTAAAATGAAGTAATTTAAGCTGAAATGTTTTAGCTTTTATTTAGCAGGAAAGTCTACATGGCACCCAATAATATCCTGCTTATGGAATTTTCACTGCTGGAAAAGTATTCTGTCAGTCTTCTAAACAGTCACAGTTCTTAAGAGATGACCAATACCATTAAGTCAAGCAAGGATTAAATCCAGACTGCAGTTTCTATTTAAACTGGGTAGCACATATTTGGTAACACAGGTTACCACACTGACACTGGATTAAATTTCAAGTCCTGCTCTTTATGCAAAATTTAAGTTGCTTAACAAGACTTGGATGTTATTGCTCACATAAAAGTGAAAGTCTAGCACAAAATGATCTTCAAAGTGAAAACAGGGCACGAATGCAGCTGAGCTCTACCATTTCTGCAGTTCTCCAACCAAGCAGAAACCCCCTCTCCCTTCACAGCACAGACTGCCACGATTGCTTTTCCCTTCTCTGCAATTATGATTTGAAGTGCACACAAATCAAACCTCCCTTTGATTTGTGTCACGTGTTTGAAATGAAAACAACATTCCTGATCAGCACATCCCACCCCTGAAATTATTCCAATATTCCAAGTGGTTTGTGCCTGGAGCAGCAGAAGCTCCGACTCGGCACTCGAGGCAGCAGGGAGCTTATCAAAGGGGAAATGTCAGGCTCAGGCAGGGGCTCAGAGGTAAGGGAACTATTCAAAGCCTGGGATTTTAATCCCTAGAGATGAGGCTTAAATTAGGCATCAGATCTTCTTTAGATGCTTCATGGTGAGGAGTGGTGAGAGAGGCACTCAGTTCAAACAAGGGCTCGTTCTGCACCGAACTGAACGAGTCCCACAGAGCAGCTTTACCCCCAACCATATTTACAAATATAAACCACCACGAGGGCAGACTGCAGAGAATGACACACTCACATCATCTGAAGAGAAGAACTGATCAATGATCTCATAAGCCAGTTTGTAGATGTCTTCATTTTCATGGTTTTGTAGCTGTTCAATTTTCTCCAGCCCTGTGACAAATGCACGAGGAAAATATCAGAACACCAAGTTCAGGCAAAACAATTTTCCAAGAATGAAATTAAAAACAAATCTGGGATCAGAGTGACTATGTTAAATTAAGGTGCTGTAAACTCATATTTGACTATTTATATATATATTTTTATACACATTTATATACAGACAAATAACTGTACAGTACATACACGTGTAAGTATTTTTGGAGCTCTGACAAGCAGAGTTTAGGCTCAAACACCTCTTTTCTCCTCCCAGCCATCACCAATCACTTGATTTTTCTGCTCTCCCTCAACATTTGGTATTTTAAAGACTATTCTACTCCATGTTAACAAATCCCACCCAGTTTTTTACCTGTGCCCAAATTTAATATCACTGTTTTTCATCCCTGAAAAGTTTCAGTCAACTTAAATAACAACCAACATAGAGGAAGTCTCAGAGCCATTAGGAAACTAAAGTTATCATATTTATAAAACCACTGTATCTGGAATTCTTTTTTTCAAGTCCACCTGGACATGACTCGTGCATGACTAAGGTAAGCACATCATCCCTACATTAACAGAAACTAATCTGTCAAGGAGAATAATTTGTCTAATAAATGACTGTTACAAAATCAGCATTTAATAAGTTTTACTGCCATTATCCAGCTCCTCCACATTTTAACTTAGGTAGGAAAAGCTGGCTATATTCATGTGATAGGCATGAAAAGGTCACTTTAAAAAAGGTTTTAACCAACACACAGTAGGAAGCTAAAACATCAATTTCTGCAAAAAACCTCTTGAAATATTGATCCTCCTACCTCCACACTCTTCTATAAGGTTGGCTATGGTTTCTGCTTCATCTTCAGCCATTTTTAATATATTACTTAGTCCATCCAGAACCACTTGCACAACTTGTGCATCTTTTACTGTCAGCAAATTGCAAAAGGGAGGGATTACATTTTGTTGGATTAAGTAAGCCACCTGAGGGGGGAAAGGCAGGAGTTACACCAGGAATGTGGCAGACAAACAGTGCAGCACAAACACAAATGCAAACAAGTTCCATGAAGGCCAAGTGCTCAAAGTTACCCAACCAGGTATTCTGCAGTGGCCACTTTCAAAAATCCCCTTTTGGAGCATCAAAAGGTAACATTTATGATAACTATTATTATGTAATTATTATTAAAAGGTGACATTTATGGATCAAGTTACAAATATATTTAAGGGCTACAATACACAAGTATCAGACACTGAATTTTTCAGTATCAGATAAGGAGCTTCAACCTCATCTTTGAAAATGAGCAGCACCACCCCAACCCTGCCCCTAATCTGGGCTTACAATGAACTAGTGTAATTCTACTCATGGGATACTACCCTTGTAATTATCACATTCTGATGGTTGGGGAAAAAAGGTAAAAGGAGATGTGGAATGCCCAGGAATCCCATCAGAGCCTGAATGAAGTCACTCACAGCTCCCAGGCCATCCTAAGATGTCATGTCAGTCCAGAAATGAATGAGCTTCCAACTGAAGCTCACTCTCCAATCCCTTGTGGAATTGGGAAGAGTTACTGAACAGTGGAGGAACAGAGACATCCATAATCCTGGAACTCCCTCAAATGCACCCAAGACAGGGAATGCACCTCAAAGTTTGACTCACTTGGTCTTTTCTTCCGCTGATCGTTAAGTTGCTTATTGCCCAAGCAGCTTCTTTCTGAGTACCAAAGTCACCCTGAAAACACAACCACAGACACAAACAATCACTCCAGGCTTCCTGGAACAGTATTCCCAGAAAAGCTTGTACTTGTTACAGTCCACCCCACACAGTATCACTGTATCAGTTGGGAAAGTAACTCCCAAATCCTGTTCTGTTCCTCCCTTCCCTGCAACCACGTTTTCCAATCGATCTCCCAGGGGAAGGGAAATTTGTTTACATCAAAGCACATAAAACTGCAGCACTCACTCCACTCTCTCCCACTCCTTATCAACAGCTGTCATGTCCTACAGGCAGAGATAAGCACTAAGTGTCAGCTTTGATAAAGCCCTGTACACACTGCAACTGTGGCTGCCTCTCAAGTTCCTCAGCTCAGGGCTGTTTATTCAGTTTGAAAGGTCTCCAGTTCTTTTCTCAGGGATCAATAAATTGACAGTTAACAGAACTATTTATGAATGGTCTTTTCCCCTGAATACTTCCTACATTCTTTTAGCCACCCCCTTGTTTCTGACAAGGCACAAGGAACACAAGGTGGTTTGGAAACTCACATTTCAAGACACAAAGAACCCAAAACCTGAAAACAAACACAGGTATTTGAAGTCCCACATGAGCATTCAACACCAATCCTTGTGGTCTAACCTTATCTAGAAGATGAATTATCATTGGAACAAGGTTTGCATCTATTACTGCCTGAACTTGCTGCTGGTTTCCTGCAGTGATGTTAGATAGGAACCACACGGCTTCCTGCAAAACAAAAGGATGGCAGGAATTAATTCAGACAGTCTTCTAGAGCATTTATTCCCCCTCCAGCAAGATCCTCTAACACGCACATTTTTCCAACTCCACAAGACTCTCCAATCTTTCACTGCTACCAGTTTACAACCAAACACTTCAGGTTAAAAGGAAAAATTATTTGGAGACAAAAAAAGAAGTCACAAATGAGCACTCAGTAATTGCTTCCACCTCTGACAATGAATGCTGGAGCAGGTTTCAGCTGATGGCCAGAAGAGCTCCAAAATGCATGACAGCATCAAGTTTTCCACACATGAGAGTGGCAGGAGATGTTCTTTACCTCCTTCATAATGTCCCTCTCCCTTGGCTTCAATCAAAAAACACAACATCTATTACTTAAATGCTTCATTTTCAACAGTTATTGGACCCCTGATGCTCATTCTGTCCACAAGCCCAGGACTCTCCTTTCAGCAATATCCAAAAGCAGGTGCCTGGCACAGTGTGCAAGAACAGATCTTTTCCCCAGTAGCCCCTCCCAGTCCTGAACTGAATTAAAAATTAAATTAAAAATTAAATTTAAAGTTAAATTTTGAACTAAGCCAAAGACTGTGTCTGGATTCTTCTGTTCAGTAAGAATCAGAAGTCCCCACACACCTTTTTAAGTGGGAATCGATCCTTTAGTCAAGAAATAACAGTTTCACATGAAATTTTCAGTATATTCAGAGTATCAGCTTCTAATCTTACACTTGAAAGATTTCTGCCTTCCTAGAAACCTTCCATCACTGTTCAATTCCCTTCTCAATCTCTCTGGAACAACAACTTTTTAGCTGAATGTTTCTCTCCACGTGAGAGTCTGGAATTTTCACATTTCATTCAACTGAGTCTCTGAGATCAGATCACAGGACCACTTTCAGCAGTGACCCTGTCAGAGATTTCGGATGTCTGGGCTTCTCCTGGTGGGCTTGCTTTGGGCTTTAATCACGGGCAGTGTTGCAGAGTGGCCCCAGAAGTGCCCAACACGCCTCAGATGCACTCCGGAGTCAGCACGGAAGTCAGTGCCCCCATTTAAAGCCTTTTCCATCCATCCCCACACACATCCCCCACCCCACCCCCAGCTGACTTGGTTTAAATTCCATTTCTCACACACACTCCATTCAAAGACATCCAATTATCTCTATTTCATCACTTCCAAGAGAGTCAGTTTAATTAAAGTGACATTTCACGTATCGAGAACTCCCAACTTTTAAGTCAACAGCCAGATTTAGAAGATAAAGCTTTGATTTCATAAAAATTCAATTAGAAGAAAATCAGGAAACAACATCCTTGTCAAGTACAAGTCTGCAGCTCCTTAGACATTTTCCTGTGGATGTTAATCTCCAGAAAAACCTCAGCACTTGCTGCAAACTGCCATAAACTGGCGTAAGGAGCCAATTACTCAAACCTCTGTGACACTGCATCGTGTGGGATTCCAAGCTAAGCCAGATATAAAAAAGTTATCAATCAGGTACAATCACTTGCCTTATTAATTTTTTCTTTGGGATGTGTCAGAAGTGCTGGAAAATGTGAGAGAGCTTCACAGTTGAGAACTACCTGTGTCTGCTCGTCGGTGCCGGTGACGATGTTTCCTACAGCTCTCAGAGCAGCCGTCTGGAAATGAACCACAAACAAAAACACTTCCTTTAAACGCAGCTCTTTTCACCAAATATTTTTTTTTTTTCTGGCTGAGCACAAACAGCTCAGAAAGCAAAAGCTTTTATGCAAATCACACAGGGGAAAAAAAAAAAAAAGCTCTTTAAAGTCCAACTCTAAAAAGAAACCAGCTACTTTCTCTAGTAGCACGTTTTGAGCAGCACTTCCTTCAAGGGATCCAAACTTACTTGCACTTTAACTTCTTGATGGCTGAGAAGAGGAACCAAATGAGGGACTATTCCGGAGTCTATGACCATCTGGATCTGCTCATTGCCAGCATCCGTTAGATATGAGAGTGCCCAGACTGTATCTACCAATATCTGACAGGAAACGGGACAGAAATAGCACCAGTGTCACCAAAATAATTAAAACTACAGTTCAAAATAAATGAAAGATTAATTTCCATTAGTGCTGTGCATTCACACAGAGAAAAATCTAATTTAAACAGCTGTAAATCTGAACATTTCGACTGACAGCTTGTAAAAATGGAGTGTTGTTGCAGCTGACAACTCCTGACTGATTGAAATACAGCCATTTCCAAAATTCAAATAAGCTCAATTTCACCTACTTACAGCCAAGAAATTAAAGAACATTAGTTAATATATTTAAGACATATTTTGGCAAAGCACTGTTGCCATCAAATCAGACAACTGAGCTACAACTTCACTAAGAAGCAAAGAATCTTAAATTCTCATTTATGTTTAGGCAAAAAGATGAGCTATTTTATCATTTCAGTAAAGTCTTGCTCATTTACTTCACTATTAAATAACAATGTTCATATTTGACACCTCAGAAGTTGCATCTAAACCTGATATTTGACACGTGTAGCAGACACTGTTTTTAATTTCATTTATGCTGATTTTCATTACAGATTCAAGTGCTAGGCACAAAAATTCCTGTATTTATCTGGAAATGAATGCTCACAGAAATACAACTGAAACTGCACTTTATTTTTAAGTGCAGGGAAAGCACATGCAAATAAACACTTGCAAAGACACAGAAATACCAGGGAAAAAAACCAAATTAAGACTTAAAAATAAGCAGTTAAAAGGTATCAAAATAAGTTTGCCCTAATGAAAGGGAACATCACAGGTTTTTATAAAGAAAAAGAGTTAATTATGACTACTCTTTGTATTTCAGCCACAAAACTATCTCAGAGCATAAAAGTGAGTCTGAGTTTGGTTACTTACATTTACATCTGTGTGGTGAATTAAAACACAGAGCGCTGGAAGGATCTGAGGAGGGAAAGGAACAGTTACTTTTATATTTTAGAAGTCATTTTTAAGGCAGACAAACCCCCAGCTGGGGTTGGGTCCCAATTCCATCACCTCCTGGATGGTCTCCATCGGTGGAGGGGGGTCTTTGTGGCGGCACAAGTTGACCATGACCCAGGTAACGTTCCTTAGGAAGGTGATGGGGATGGATGGGCTGATGAAGGACAGCAGAGGCTTCACTACTCCAAGGCTAATAACATAATCTCTACACTGGGGTCCATCACCTGGGAGAGACAGCACAGAATTACTGTTATTTCAACAGCAAAGTTCCACAATTCACGGATTTAGGGATGTGTGGGCAAGGGAAAGGGGTGGCAGACAACACCAAACCACCAAGAGGAGTGGACAGCCCAACACACTCCTGAAGATTCCATCAAAAACTTTATAAACAACACTAAAACATCCTTAGAAGTTTTCAGGGGTAACACCAACCTATGATATTTCCTAAAGCCCACACAGCTTGCTCACAGACATTTTGATGAGGTGAATGCAGCAGCCTCAGGAAAAGCGGCACAGCATCTGAAAGGCACAAAAAACCCCCATGGGATGGTCAAGAAGTGCTTCTCAAAACACCAAATATTCACATCCTCAACTCTTACATAGGAAATTTTTCTCCTGGTAAAAAGTTCACTAATTTCCCAGGTGACACTGAAATAAAACACTGCAATAATTCTTCCTTTGCTGGGTATTCTTACAGAGCCTGCCCTTCAGAATATTAAAAAAACCCCGACATTGAATTTGTTTGCAAGTCTCACAAGTTTACTGGAGCTTGTCAGGACTCCAGATTTAGCACAGGATTTCTGAATTCAATAAATGTCACTAAGCTTTGCATCAGAATCAACTGCAAAGCAGGAACTTTAAGACCAACCTCACCCACTCAAATGAACCAATTTAAGAGTAAGTAGGGGCCCAGCTCCATTATGGACTGGGAATGTAGGAAGAGGGCAGGAAAGGCTTCCACATTTAGATAATTGATCCTGGTTTATTTTCCCCCAGCACTAAGGTGCTTGCTTACATAATAGTTGAGCCTATAAAAAAACCCATTTACTTTAGATCACAGATTTCAAGAGAAACTGGTATTTTTAGTTGCTCTCTCAATGTAAATCATGTTTTACTAGAGAGAAATAAATCACAGCAGGATTCTTATTTCCTACTAAATAAGGGTATTTTATAATGCCTGGATGCAAGGAGAAAAAAAAAACCTTCCCAGCAAGCATATTAAGTACTTTTGGAAAGATTACAACAGGCCATCTTTTTCATTGAAATAAATCAAATTTTCATGTGTCAGAGCTATTAAATGGACTAATTAGTGCATACACAGACCTACAGAACACCACTGACAGCAGTGCTCAATTTGTTGATAAACTAGGTTTAAATACAAAGTGTTCTAGATCAGAGGTGTGGGACACATTATCTATTAATTAGATTTCCAAAAGAAAACTCGGGATGCAACTGGGGAAGGAAGAGGAAGGGAAAAAGGGAAGTTAAAAGAATTAAGATACATAGTAAAAGGGTCCAATCCAAATTAAACTGAGGTTTAATTTTTTAACACTGAGGTTGGGAAAGCAAAGGGCAACTTATCTTGCAACCAACATAAGTTCTGTGTATTTTTGTACTTTTTTGCTTAAATTTTAGGCAAAACTTGTTTCACACTATGTTTGATTATTCCAGGAGGCTCAAGCACCTCTCTTTCATTCACTACCCTCAAAAATCCTGCACACTTCTACTTAGTTCTGCTTTACCAACAGAAGCACTACTTCAACTTAAGACATGCTTGGGGTATAGAAGAAAGTTTCCTTTGCCTGGCAAAATTCAGATTGCAAACCCAAGAGCAATTTCTTTCCATGCAGTATGAAAGACAGGTTTTTTCCTTCAGCTTGATTTTGGAAGAGTTTGATGTCAGGCACCCTCTGGACTTGGCCCACAGCTCTCCCACACTCTTTGTAGTGAGACATGAGATCCCTCCACTGGGGTTTTTTGGTTGGTTTTGTTGTTGTTGTTGTTTTCTGTGGTTTTTTTGTTGTTGTTGTTTTTTGTTTGGTTGGGTTTTTGGTGTTTGTTTCAAGGTTTTTGTTGGGGTTTTGTTTGTTTGTTTGTTTTAAGTTTGCAAACTGGAAACCAGCAGATACCAACTCTGCTAAAACACTGTGAGTTTCCAGAAGACGTTACTCACCCTTAGGAAACCCAACTGAATTTAAACCCTGAGAAAACAAAGACCAAAAGCAGGCCTGTGATTCACCTGACACCACTTGCCAGAGGTAAAACATCTGGCAGGAACCTTCATGGGCAGGTCCCTCAGTGACTGACAACCTGATTTCAAGCGAATCCAACGTGTGGATTTGTGAACTTGCTTGAGAGGAACAGGGGGGGATGTGGATGTTTTTGACAGGGTGTTTTAGATGATGTTATTGTTGTGGCAGCTTCAGAGTGTTATCCATGAGCAAACCCTGCTGGACTTACTGGACTGAACCACGGCCTGTGTCTGCTCTGAGGTTCCAGAGGCGATGTTTGTCAGAGCCCACGCGGCCTCAAACTGTAAAGAAGGACTGGCAAGGGAAGAGAAACACAACAATTATTGTAATGAGAGTTCTCAAATCAGTCACACATCAGTTACGTACCAGCAATGAAAACATGAAATACTCACTTGTCATCTCTTTCAAGACAGTGCACTAAAATAGGTAATATTCCTGATTTTATTAGATCATCGATGGGTGGGTTGCGGTCGCTGGAGAGCAACTTCCTGGTTGGGGAAGGAGAAAGAAAAACAGATTTAGCAGAGAAATCACAATGAGGAATCCAGAGCAGGGCAGTGATGGCTTCCTGTAGCTGAGTTTGGGAAACCTCCAAGCACAGAGTCCCAAGAGCCTCCCTGACAAACTGTTCCAGTGCCACACCACCTTCAGGGCTGGGAATTTTTTCCCCGGTGTGTCTCTCTACTCCCAAACACCAAAGATTTGTTTTCTCCACTTCAAGTGAAAATAACAAAGCCCCCAAATTAAAATTACTGAGCTACTGGAAAGCCAAAGCCATTACATCCAGTTTCAGTGCCATGTTTTCTCTACCAGGGAAGTTTGGTCTTTGTTTTACTGACTGGTGACAGAGTTTTCCAGCTCCTTCCTCCTCCACCCAGCAAGGGAGATACTCAGACCCTTCTGCATTTAAAGCTGAACACTTTACAGTCCCCCTAATTATATATTTTAACTCTACTTGTGAGAAGCATCAAGTTTGCACCAAGATAAATCCATGTATTTATCCACAATCACAATCCACGCTACTTAAAAGATGTCTTGATTTTTTTCTCAAGTTCTTTATATCAAGTTTTCTTTCTAAAAAAAATCAGTTAATTACATACTATTTCCAGTTAAGCTAGAACATATTTTCTGATTCCAAAAGCATGATAAAATGAGAATAAAAACCAAGATATTTGAGAAAGCTGTGTTCTTACCTTGCTGCCTGCACAGCACTTAACTGTATACCCTGGTTGTCACTTGAAGCATTCTAAAAGAAAAAAAAAATTAGATTTTTCACACATTTGTCATCATGACATGAGGAATATTTAAACAATTAAGTTGGTTTTACCTGTACTATTGCCTCCAAAGAAGTGTTTTGCTAGAAAACAGAGACAAAAGCAGTTAGAAATTCAAAATGTTTTAATGCATGCAAAAAGAAGACATGCTTGAGAGTTAATTCTTACCACTCTGAAGTCACCATCTATATCAGAATCTTCACAGATATCTTCATGGGGAACATTCCTTCTCTTTAGAAGATGCTCATCTCTTTTGTTCTGAAAGAGAAAAAGGAGTGAATACCTTCAAAACTTTGACTTAGGAGGTGTGGGGGTTTAAAGGAAAGAAGAGAAGCTTCTGTTTTAAACAAGCATCATAAACATGCTGTCATTGATAGTGTTAAAATTACCAGGAAGTTGGAATGGACTGCACAGAGAAGCACATTTTTGAAACCACTTCTTCCCAAAAAATCCTGCCTCCAACTTTATGGACACAGCAACAAGTTGTGCTGGAAGTTCCACGTGCACAAATCCATCCCCACTGACATCACAACCTATTTGTCATCACTTCTAACGAGACACAGCAATTCCCAGAGGCCAACTTTCTGTTCATCCCACAAGGAAAATAATTCCAGTTGTGATTCCTTTCCTCAGGAGCCAGTTTTCCAGCAATTCTAGTGTCACCTTCAGACTCTCCCACTCTATTGTGTGCTGTAAGAAAACAGCTTTCTGCCTACAGATCAGCAGGAGCATCTGATTTTCAAAGGGAAAAACAAGCTTTTTGTAAGTGTTTAAAACCTGGCTGGAGGAGCAAGAGTGATTTATTAAATTACAAATAAAACCCTGGTTTTCAGGACAAAAAATTATGGAACTCTCAGTAGCAGGTATAAAAATTTCAGAACTTCCTTCTAAGCCAAAGTTTAGATTAGTAAAGATGAAGAGATAGTGGAACAATGTTTTTGGTGGATACAGAAAGAACAAAGTCTTAAACAGAAACTCTTACATTTTACTAAGTAAAATGCCATTTAACAACAAAAATCCTGGATCATCTCACCTTTCTCAATTCCACGACAACTTCATTTCTTTGCCTTCTCATAGTCTGCAAAGAATGAAGATCAAAATACATCATATTCTGAACTCAGACCAATTTTAAAAGTTCTTGTACAACTATTTAAGTTGATGCACTTTAAATACTTGTACACAAAGGGTTTAATTTTCATTATAAAAGCAGAAATCCTACAGGAAATTGGAAGTAACTATGTTATTTGTGTTTATTTTATTTCAGAGTAAAACAGGTTCCTAGGTGTTCATGATGAAGAAAAAAGGGTGTATGGAACCAGGAATAAGCAGGTGTCCTTGAAAGGGAAAACTGAAAGAGTTGTGCCTAAACCAGCCCCAAAAGCATTATAAAGACCATGGCAAACCAGCAGTGAAGTAGCTTTATAAACAAGCTCAAATTAAGATACCTTGTAAGCAAAGCCAGGCTACAAAACTATTGTTTATAGATGAAAACCACATAAAACCCCTGGTACTTTGAGAGCAATTTTTGGGGGGTTATTTTCTCTACAGCTCCCATTGACAGAATTGAGGGGGGAAAAAATCAATTTGTAAATATACATAAATTGTTTTATTGTGCTTTGCTACTGCAATGAAAACAGGAGAATAAATCAGTCTGGAGCGATTGTGTTCCACACTTTGAACTTTGCTGTTCTCATTCACTGCAAAGTTCAAAACAATTCCACTTCTATTGTGACTTCACTTCCACGAGTCCCAGGGAAAAAGTCTGAAATCCTGGAAATAAAGGTCTGCACTAACACAGGACAGAAGGAAAAGGAGCAGGTTAACATCAACAGCAAGAAGCTGTTGAAGATAAGGATTAAATGCCTGACTTTCAGAAAATAATTATTTTTTTATCAAAAATAATGTGCATTTCTTCAGAATCAAATTTCAGCTCTGAGCAAGAGAAATTACCTCCTCAAAGGAAGGAGCTCCAAGAAAAATGAAGAGGACAGGAAAGGAAAAGAAGGGATGGTTCCCCACTGCTTTGGAGGCAGAACTTGTCATGGTTTGAGGACCAAAATGCAGCTCATTATGAGGAGAAAAAAGGCAGGGGAAGGGAAAATCCAACCCAGGAGCAACTCCAGCAGCTGCAGCAACCAGGGAAGAGTCACAACAGCCAAGTGCAAAGTATTCCAACGCTAAAAATTCTCCTGTGCAGCCACACAGCTCACAGGGTGCTCCAATGCAGGGCAGCATTCCCAGCTGGGATTCCCCAGGAAAGGTGTGCTACCCACCTGGACCATGGATGGCTGCTCTGAGGAGCAGGGCTGAAGGCAGGAAGCACTCCATGGTCAATTCTCTGGGCTCCAAGAGAAGCTGATCCACTCCTGGATCCCATCCCACCCCTGAGAGGCTCTGGGACGATGCTAAAACTTCCCAACTGAATGATCTCTTGCAGGCTCTTGCTCTCAGCCTGTGCCACAGTGCTCAGTGCAGCCTCTCCAAGACTACCCTGGCACATCCAATATGAAAATAATATGGGAAAAACCTCTGATAATGAGATTGCAGAACTGCACCACACCCCTGATGAGCTCACAGGACCATTAACAACCCAACAGAAGAAGCATTCCTATCAGAAAGCTAGAGGGGGAGAGGGATGATCCTTCCCAGACATTGCTGGTCACCAAGAGCAAGAACCCAATGGACATTTCAAGGAGTAAAACACTGAATTGCTGTAACACCAACTTAAAAGGGACATTAAGGTGTAAAGGATACTAAAAGTAATTGCTACAATTAGTGGTGGTAACACAGCACCAGGACAAGCACATGTGACAGAGACAGGGGGAGGAGTGAGTGGGACCTGCACAAGAACAAAGCCTCAGGTGTGTCATTTAGAAGTTTCTTTACTTGAAAAGTCATATATACAATTGGTTAGACTTAAAAATCCTCTGCTGGAACAAGAATGCCCTCCCTTGGCAGGCCCTTGGTTTAATTCCTGCCTGCTCTGCAGAGACCTGCACACCTTGGACTCACAAAAGCCCTCACATGCAAGACAAGCTGCCAGTGAAGTCACTCTTAGGCAGAATTTACCAAAATAGGGCTCCACTAAAATAATCCTCTGGGTAAACAGTGGTCTGTTGACAAAATAGTTATTACTGGTCAACCTGTCACTGCTCTTCCTCCTGGGAAGAGGAAAAGCACAACAAAGGAGAACTGAGGTCAGCTCTGTCCCAGAGTTTCACAGTATCACCACCTCAGCCTGGGGATGGAACAGTTTGGAGAAACCAAACTGCCAAGCAGAGTCCAGATCAACTTGTGTTGTCTTCTGGAAAACAGCTCTAAGGGCAGGAAGAGAGGCATTGGAAAGGGACATTATTCCTTCTGTTCTGTGGGAGATCTCACTTGTCAGACTTCTCTGAATCAGTTCCCAGCTTGCACTGACACAACTGTGAGCAGGAAACCATTCTCAACTTAAAAAGTTTTGGAAGCAGAGCTCAGGATGGCCCTGGCAAGGGCTCCAACTGCAAAACAGGCATCACTTCAGCAGGAATTCATGTGGCTCTTGCAGTCACTGGATCCTGTTTGTTGTTTGCTACATCAAAAATCAAATGATCCGATCTATTTCTGTCAGCCTGGGATGGCCACCCCTCCATCCTCCTTTTTTTCAATTATATTTAGCTTCAGATTTATCATAAGGGCTATTTCTGACCATTAGTCATGACTGAGCCCTTCAGCTTATCATTAAAATCTCGTGGTAGCTGATGCCTGCAGGATCCCCAGACATCCCAGTTTTCACAACAACGCCAGGACCAGAGGCAGCATTCCCAGCTCCACATGGAGGCAGCATTCCCAGTTTCCTAAACACACCTGGAGCTGTGCTCCAGGATCCTGACCCCTCTTCTTTCCCTGAAGCACCACACAGTGCCTTCACTGCTGGCTGGGTGGGTGGGGGTTTTTTTGGCTGTTATAAAATATTTCACTTGAGCAGCTCCATTTAAACACCTGCAACAGGAAGGTCTGGCAGCACACAAATAAAGGCAGAACTTCACCTGTTCCTCTCATTCCAGGGAATGGTTTCCAAAGGCACAGAGTTTCTGTTGGGGAACTGCAAAGGCAACAGTTACTGCACAGCAGAGTTGGCTGGGCCTTTGTTCCTCCCTAGGAAGTTGCTACCAAACAGAAAACAAACCCAACAAAAAACAGCCTGGGGAGGGTATGGGGTGTAGGTGTGCAAATAGATTATTTACCCCCTCAATCTTTTGTGAGCTGGATGGCATTTTTGATTGTTTTCTTATTAAAACACTGCTTACTCACAGAGTAGCTCCTCAAAGCACTCAGTTTGCAAGGGGAGGATTTGTCTCCAACCACAGCACTGACTAAGAAACCTTGTCCTGTCCTTCCCTGGTCTGAGGCACCAAACTATAAAAAAAGGGAAGAGCCCTCCAGGTACATCCAACTTCATATCTGGGTTTGATAAAACCCCTCACTTTTCACAGCCAGTGTAATCCAGTGATCCAGGCCCTGCTCCATCCATTATTTCCCCCCCTATTCTAATCCTAGGATAGTATATATATATTATTTCTCTCCTATACTGATCCATTACAAACTGGAACAATCGAGTCTTCTCCCAAGATCACTGATACAAATCCTCTGGAATTTTAAAGCCAACACAGCCTCTACAAGATGCCCCCAAAACCCAAATCTCAGCAAGTGTTCCCCCTTCAGAAGGATAATGGGATTCTCAGCTATGGATAAATAAATACAAATCAAAAGGACACTGCATGTGCTGTCAGCCCAGGTTTTCCTGCAGAAGTTGGGCATGGCAAATCAAATGCCTTATACAAATATCTCAGGATCATTTTGAAGTGACAAGATGGATGAGCTTCACCACAGAACTCCAAGTCAGCTTAAAGGAACCTATTTTTAACTCAGTGAGTGAAATTCCTGCTCTCCTTCAGTTCTTCCATATTTAATCCCAAAGAAACTATTTTGTGTGGGATACAGAAAAGGCTGAAAAGCTTCAAAGCACCTGCAATATTCAACATATCTCCTAACAGCACCTTTCCTTCACTCCCCTGGAGCTTCCTTGGTGTTCTCAAACACATTATTAAAGTCCAGTGAACGTTACTGGTAACTCTTAAAATCCTGACACTGTTGATCTTAAAACATCTTGATTCAATGGTTGCTCCAAAATTAGTTTTGGAGTGCTCTGCATCACAGTATTATCATCATTTCACATCATGCATCTCTCAATTACAGAGCAGAAATATCTATTTACCACTATTAAAGCAATTCTTAAGAGTCAGGGAAGGAAAAGCCAGCAGGAACTCAGCAGATTCTTCCAGTATTCCCAGAAAAATAATATGCATGAAATATTTTTTGTTTCATCTCAAAAAAAACCCCAAAAATCTAAATGTCAGTGAGATTTGAATGCTGCAGCAGGCAACAGTCACCATCAGAAAATGAGATGCTGGATCACCTGGTGAAACAAAATGAAGCAAAAATAAAACAGCCCAAATCTCTTCAAACCTTCCCAAAACAAGGCTGTACTCAAGACCCCTAAATGCAGTATTTAAACAGATATTATTTAAACCCAAACTGTTCACAAAACCATCACAGACACAATGCATTTACACTTTTCTGGCCTGTTCATTGTAAAGATCTAGTATTTGGTTCCAAGGTCTGTGGGACTACAATTAAAAATTAATTGGAAAGAAGATTTGGTGGCAGCACAGCCAGACCCACAACAAACAGAAAAAAAACCAGTTCACCCTTTCTTATTCAAGGGGAAAAAAAAAAAAGCCCAAGTAAAACCTGTTCCTCCTTGAAGACACAAGATGAAAAAAGTCACCTTAACCAGCTCCCTAATGGATAAGCATTTGCATGATTTAATATCAGAGTCCAGATAAGCCCTTGTTCAAGGAAGATTTTGGGGCTGGATGTTAAAAAAAAAAAAGTGACCACTTCTGTGGTTTTTAAGGCTCCTCTTTGTGCTGTAACAACACTATTTTTTTTCCCCCACAGCTCTAATAACTCTTAAATCTTGAAGGCCTTAACTAGACCTGACTAGAAATGCTCAAAAATACAGAGAGATACTGCCTCAAATTACTGCTCTCACAGCACAAA